TTCACAGCATCCCCTGGCAACGAGCTCCATAGGCAGGCTGGCTGCACTGTGTCAAGCAGTACTGCCTTTTGTGTAAAACCTGCTGCCGTTGGGTGACTCGTCTTGGGTTACGTGAAGGGGTAAATAACAATTCCCTAGTCACTGTCTCCACCCCAGTCATGATTTTATAAGACCTCTGTCCTATCCTCTCTTCGTCTCTCTCTGTCCAAAGCGGAATAGTCCCCGTTTTTTTAAAAACTCTCCTCATATGAGAGTTCCAGGCCCTTCTCTGCACCTTCCCTAATTCTAATCTCTCTCTTTGGAGATGGGGCGAGCAGTATTCAAGGTGTGGGTCTACCATGGATTACGATATATTCCGTCTTGTCTCTCCCTTTCCTCATGGTTTCTAACGCTAGTTAGCTTTTTTGGCTGCCACTGCCCATTGCGCTGATCTTTTCAGAGAGTTCTCCATAGTGACTCCAACATCTTTCTTGAGAGGCAATGGCTAATTGAGACCCCATCATTTGTACGTCTAGTTGGGATTATGTTTTCCACTGCACATTACTTTACATTTATCAACATTGAATTTCATCTGCCATTTTGTTGCCCAGTCACCCCATTTTGTCAGAGTCATTTGTATCTTTTTGCAGTCAGTTTTGGACTTAACTATCTTGAGTAATTTTATCCCATGTGCAAATTTTGCCACCTCACCGTTCGCCCCATTTTCCAGATAATTTATGAATACGTTGAACAGCACAGGTCCCAGTACAGATCCCTGGGGGACCCCACTATTTACCTCTCTCCATTGTGAAAACATTGTCCTACCCTTTGTTTCTCATCTTTTAATCGGTTACTGTTCTATAAAAGGACCTTCCCTCTTATCCCATGGCTCCTACTTTGCATAAGAGCCTTTGATGAAAGACCTTGTCAAAGGCTTGCTGAAAGTCCAAGTACTCTGTATGCACTGGATCACCATTGTCCATGTGCTTGTTGACCCCCCTCAAAGAATTCTAATAGATTTGTAAAGGGAAATCATGCCTCACCAAAGCAGTGTTGATTCTTCCACAACATACTGTGTTCATCTGTGTGTCTGATCATTTTGTTCTTTGCTATAGTTTCAACCAATTTGCCTGGGAATGAAGTTAGGCTTACTGGGTTCTAATTGCCAGGATTGTCTCTGGAGTCTTTTTTAAAAATACACGTTACATCAGCTACCCTCCAGTCATCTGGTACACAGGCTGATTTAAGTGATAGTAGTTCTGCAATTTCATATTTGAGTTTCTTCAGAACTCTTGGGTGAATACCATCTGGTCCTGGTGATTTATTACTTTTTAATTTATCAGTTTGTTCCAAACCCTCCTCTACTGACACCTCAATCTGGGACAGTTCCTCAGATGTGTTACCTAAAAAGAATGGCTCGGATGTGGGGATCTCCCTCCTATCCTCTGCAGTGAAGGCTGATGCAAAGAATTCCTTTAGCTTCTCTGCAATGGCCTGGTCTTCCATAAGTGCTCTGTTAGCACCTCGATCAGCCAGTAGCCCCACTGACTGTTTAGCAGGATTCCTGCTTCTGATGTACTCAAACAATTTTTTTGCTGTTATATTTTTGTCCTTAGATAGTTGCTCTTCAAATTCTTTCCTGGCCTGCCTTATTATACTTTTACACTTGACTTGCCAGAGTTTATGCTCTTGTACATCTGAAGAGCGTGATCACTGATGTGATTTTTGTACATTCTGACCAAAAAAATAAAAGGCTACCGATTGTTCCCAGTTTGGGGACGGTATCTCCACCCCGCCTGCTAGATCTGAGCTGGAACTGTGCAATAACTATGGATTGTTCCCGGTTTGGGGATGGTATCGCCACCCTGCCTGCTAGATCTGAGCTGGAACTGCGCAATAAACACTGGCCACAGTCTCCTACCCCCCCGGGCTGTGACATCTCCTCAGAGCAACACACGCTATTAAAAGGGAAATTGATGAGACACAGGGACAGCTATTCTCCCTCCAGTTTTATGCATTTCTCCATGTCATCTCTCTAGACACTAGCGACATCCATGTAGCCTAAAAAGGCCTTTGATTTCCACATCACTGCTCCTTCTCAGCCAAGGGAATTGGGCCAAATATGGGGTCTGGAGTGGGAAGGGTTAATAATGGTACCACCAATTCTGCATGAAGCAGTTTTTATCATTGCAGGGCATCTCCGAAATGCTGCACCACGCTGCTGGGATACAAATTAAGAGCCCTTTGTCCCAGAAAGAAAGAGTCGACATTAACATAGGGAGAGAAAAATGCGAGTTACATTTAGTTCCCCTGAAACCAGACAGAGCAGGTCTATCAAAGGAAGCCTCAGCACACTGGCAGTCAGAGGACAGGCATGCAAGGGGAGCTTGGAGCCCAGACAGGAGGGAAAGGCTTACAACACTTGTAACTTGTTTCAGGCTAAGAAAAACACCGCCCCTGTCCACATTCAGGGACTGGTCCAAGCCAGGAGTTCCCATTGCCTAGAACAGGGATAACCAGCTGGCAGGCATGTTCTGGGGAAGTCTAGGCAGAGTTCTAGGGATTCTACGCAGAGAACGGGTGGTAAAACATTCCCCTGTTGAATGGAGAACACATTTCCCTAGGGGAATGAGCCACTGGTGTTTGGCTTGCCCTGTCTAGTACACATAGAGAGAGCCGAGTACTCTTCATGAGAGATGCACAAAGACAGACCGACCCTAGGTGGGCGCTGCTGAGTCCGATGAGAGAGAGAGTATGCTGCGTTGTAGGGATCCCCGCCCCTCTTTGACTGGGGAATTCTTTCAGCTATGGAAGATCAGAGGTTTCTCCTTCTCAAAGGGCAGAGAGAGGAAACATCAGATTGGAAAGTCTCCTGTACTCAGCCTGGCCTTTTGGTAAGAACTAGGTCAGTCTGGATAGCTGGCTAGACTATCAGGGAAATGGAGTCCACAATCGATGGGTCCATTGGTGACTACTGTGATCCTATGAAGTATTCCCAGCTTGATTCCCCCCACATCATCTAGTGACAATCCCCCAGCCACCTTCTGTGCATTTTTACCATCCAGCATTCCCCCACTCTCCCCCCAAGACAGGTGGCAAGGTTCTCCAGACAGCAGAAGGAAACCCTGCATTCACTCGGAGGATGAACTGCAACATGGGACGTGACGATTATATCTGTGTTTGGAAGCGTCCATGCACGCTAGGAGCAGCCCTCTACAGGGGTAAGGGCATGGCCCTCGTTGCCGCTATGGGTTGGCTAACCTCTAACCAAGTCATACAATGGAGCTATTGCATTCTCAAGAATCCTGTGCAGCTGACCCATTTAAAAAGACAACAATGAGCAAGGACCCTGCACATTCATGAAGTTTAATCATATGGGCTGTAGAGCTCTCTCGCAACCTGCAGCATCTTTTGAAATACCCGTCCCCGCGACTGGGCTGGGACTGAAAGGTTAATATGACACTCCAGTTAATTAGCTAGAAGGACTGTGAATATTATCGGAGTGAGGTGACCCAGCGATAGCGTCAGGGGCCGAGCGACGGATTCTACCCTGCTCCCCAGAAAAGCCCATAGGAGCCAGAGTGGTTGAAGAGGAGAGGTCACGCAAGCACAGAGGGGCAGGAAATAGGGCAGACTGGTCATTGTTCATTTGAAGTAAGAGGATAATCAATACTGTAGCACTGATTAGACCACAGGAACAGGCCAGCATCCCGTGCCCTGTACTACCGATGCCAATAGTTATGTTAATGAACAAAATCTAATGGTCTGCACTGCATTTCTAGTGCGCCATGTGTAGGCCTGTGAGCAAGCAAATGAAGCTGTGGGTTTGCAATAATTATTTCCAGGAGTGTGGAGCATTGCCTTCGCTAGAAACACCGAGAAGCTGCCCCATGCTGCTACTTAACCTCTGTGTTCCGGAGCATCTGCTCCTCTATTCCCGAGTTACAGCTGAATTCCAGAGGAAGGCAAGAGTAGCTCAGGAGTGCCAGGGCATCACTTAACAGCTTGGGCATGTAAATCTGACTCGTTCCCTTGGGAGTCTCTCCCCTTGAGACATTTTAAATTAAAATCCAAGCTGATGCATGAAGAGCTAGCATCCCCTCCTCTTCATCGGATGGACAGAGCCAGCAGTTTTGCTCTCGTTAGGGCTGCGTGCGTGAGACTCTCTCTCCTTAGCGCCAGCAGTTCACGCCAGAGAAGAGTTTAGTAAATCCTGCTGTTGGAGGCCAGAGGGCTGAGTGGAAGAAAGAGGCCAGGTTCCCAGCTACAATTACATTCACCAGTAAAGCTCACATGAGGTCAAATTTTGCTATAATTCTCTCTCTCCTCTGTAACTGGTTTCCCTGTCACTGGGGAAGGAACAGAAGAAGGAGGGAAAATAAAATGTGTTTGTCTGGGAGCCCTGAGGGCCTGCAGCGCTGGAGGTACACAGCAGGTTGCTGGATTCTCATTTATCAACCTTAAAAGGGATGGAGTGATAAATGCATAACCGGCCCTTTAATATTTTATGCAGGTGCTAAAGCGACTTCGCTGTCACCTTCAATACATCACCAGCGGCTGATAAACCAGCTTTCGTCATTCCAGGCTGGGAATTTTTACAATTTCATTTCTTTCTCTCCCCCACCCTTCAAATAAATCCGTATATTTTTTAATGTGTGCAAACAAGGAATTGATTCCTTCCCAAATGATCTCCCCCTCTACCTGCTCCCAATCTCTCCTCCTATGTAGCTACATTTCCTGAATACAAAGTAAAGCAATTCTTCCGTACTTAAGGTCAGTATAAAATGTTACCCTTACTTTCCCAGGTGTGGTAAGATCTGAAATCAATCCTGTGTAGTGCTGGCAAAACTTGAAGTTCCCACCCATCTTGAAAGGTAACACTGTGGATGTTTACACAGCTTGAACCCCTCCCTCTAAAGAGAAGTGACTGATTCAATGCTCTATTTTAAAGCACAGCACAACTGTCCTCTATGCATCTCAGATGTGCCTCAAGTCAGGGTGCCCCGAAACGCCACCAGTACCTCGGAATCCCCCCTCCAGGAGGGTGGTGGCACGTATCCTCTTCTGCCCGCACCACTCGTATTCCTCGAAGCGATTGCCGTTCTCATTCTCGATGTCCACAGAGTCATCCTCAGTCATGCACGAGCCTTCTCTCTGTGCCGGGCAGAGGGTGCAGAGACTAAGACACCCTAAATTCCCATGGGGGTCAGGACCTCTCCCACGGGGAGCTAGATCAGCAGTGGGTAGCAGCATCTGCTTCCCCACAACAAGCCTGATCCTGAAAGGTGACGGGAGCTGAGAGTGCTCAGGACCTCTTAGGATCAGGAAAACGAGCAGCAGGGTTCCCATTTTACATAGGGACACTTAAGCTCTAGTTTCCAGGACAATCCTGGCGTGTGTCCAAATGCAACCTGTCTGGCACATCACAGCTCGTAAGCTGCTGCCCCTGAACTGAAATAGCACCCTCCCTTGGTCCAGGAGCACAGGGTGGATCCCTCAGCAGGGCCAAAAGCGGAAGGATTTCTCAGGACACCTGGCTCATGAAGGCTGGTCAGAAAACAGTTCTTTTAAAACACGCTTCACTTGGGACGTTCTTGTGGGGTGTTTGTAAAGCGCCCATGACTGGCAGAAACAGGAAACTACAGAAAGCCAAAAGCGCCTGCTCTCCCCCTTGCAGCACATCTATGGAGTTTACTCCTCTCTCCTCAGTCTTTGGGAAGGCTAATGAAGAGACAGGGCTTACCGTCCCATGGGAAGGTGGCAGAGGAGTTTTTAGAGACCCTAACTCCTGGTGTGCAATGCTCAATTGGCATTTTTAACAAATCTATTTTAAAAGGGCAACATCAAAATGGCTGTAAAGGCAGAGAACAGAAAAGAAGAACTCTTCCTGTGTTAGGGAGGAATCTTAACACATTACACAAGGCTTCAGGTAGCCAAATACCTGCAGAGTTTGGTCTATTAAGCTGGAGTTCATTAACACGGCTTGGGGGACATGAAAAAACAAAGCTTCTAGCACGAGGCACACAGGAACCTATATGGAGCAGTCTTCCAGGCATGAGGTGACTGCAGCTCCCAGACAGTGCACCCTGTGCCCTGGCCTTTAACCCAGCAGGGTTGGTTTCTGCCCTGGGTGGGAAGGGCAACTGCAGAGAGAGTAGGGAGAAGGGAATGGCAGCAGAAGGTCCTGCTGCGCCTCTACCTTTGCAAGGCATTGTTCCACATGTCTACTCATCTCCTCCTCGGATCCTGACAGAGGCCGGCTGCAGAGGGGACATACCTGCCCTTCGTCTTGCTTCCTCCGTTTCATTTTCCCAATCCGAGCTGCATGGAGAAACCGGGGAGAGAAGAAAAACACATCACCTTTATAATCGCTAGAGCGAGCCTCTCTCACCTGCCTTCTCCCCCAGCAATAAACGCCTTAGCAGAGGCTGTGTGGACACAGGAACACTGATTCACTGACTTTAGGACGACCAGGAGGGACAATTATGATCACGCAGCCTGACTTCCTGAATAGCACAGACCAGAGAATTTCCCCCCACACTTCCTGCATCATGCCCATATCCAGGAGCTCAGTTGGAGTATATTTTTTAGAAAGACATCCAGACTTGATGTAACGACTATGTGATGGAGATTCTACCATGCCCCTAGTTCTTCCAGTGGCAATCACCCTGACTTATGTTAGAGAACTAAAGCACTGGAGGGTCACATCAGAAACCAGGTATACATAAGTTGTGTGAGTAGCCTGCTATGTATAGATAACAGTATGGAAAAAACAAGGGCGTGAGGGTGATGGGTAAAATGGACAATGCTGCAAAGACAGATAAAACTGAGAAAAAACCAACAGGGGAATACCTAGGCCGAAGTAGTAAGCCACACAGATAACAATATAAGTGAAGAAATGTGTGATCAAGATGTGCCAAGGAAACGTAACCCATTCAGGAGAAGGAGTGTGGGGTGACAATGCAGCATACATACGGCATGGAATGTACCAGGTATGGATAAGGGTGAAAAGTTAGGTAACCTGAGGATGGCGTATGTGTGATGGTAAGTAAGCATGGAAGGGTATAAAAGAACGTGGACTGTTGAGGACAGATGGAGCAATACAGGACCTCCACAAGACTGGACCAGCGTGCCTCGGAGGAGGACAGCAACATTCTACCAGTGTCCCAAGGTGAGGTAACTGATCACTGCCTCGTCCTGCTCTGTTTTACTTATGCTTGACTGAAGTGGTGATAGTATCCCCAAATTCCTTTAATAAAGCTTTAAAACTGATGAATTTAATAAGTAGGTGTGGACTGTGCTTTTTGCCCAACAGTTATAAATGCACACCTTGTTTTCTAGCCTGGACTATCTGGTGGTTGGACCTTGTTGGGCCTTTTTTCTGATAGCAGGGGGTTCTTTGATCTATCAGATATTTCCTCTTCATGCAGGTACTTGCTCAGAACCCTACAAGACTTGAGGTTTAGTTGCCGGAGATGTCCTGCTTAAGTTACACAACCGTCACTTTCAACATCTCAAGCTCCCATGCATGCCTGAATATTCCCTTCCTAGAACGTCAGATACAGATAGGCACAACATGCGCAGGGCGGGCAGGCTGGTTTTGGATCAAAGAAAGGAATTCTGCAGTCCAGGAGAGGGCCTTTAGTCTCCCTGGTTCTTAATCTGATTTGCATTTGTGTTATTTTTATTGAAAGTACATCCAAGCCATGTAGTGAAAAATTGGAAGCTACACTCTCCGCACAAGAGAGCAATCTCGGGGAAAGACACAGAGTCATGCTGATTAGGAAAAGCAGCCGAGAGAGCCTGTTACTTAATCCAATCTCTGGTTAATCTGAGCCATCGTTAAACGTGATCAAAACATCTGGAACCAAATCATTTGCATTAAAAAGAACTTCTGTCCTTTATTATGATGGCTTTAGGCAGGTATTACTAGATAACTCAATCACGGGCTGGAGAAAAGTCTCTGTTTAATTAACAAGGAAGGTCAAAATTCTGAACACGAGACAAGTAAGAGCCTAAGGAAAGCCCATGTGGTAATGAGAGATGACACCACTGAAAAGCTGTGTTATTCAGAGATTGGTATTGACATTGTAAGCACTACCATGTGCTCCAAAAGCGGCAATGTTCATGCCAGTGTCTGGATGGATAGCAGTATCAATGGTTTACTACAATCAAAGCGAGAAGGGGAAGGTGCTGCAGAGCTAGCTAGGTGATGGACAAGAGACCTAGAATGGTCACCCGTCCAGCGCATCCACCTCACAGAATGAGCTAAACTAAGATTTACTTCCCCGGTGTGGCTGATTCCTGATCTTTCTAGTAGCGGTTTCTTCATTTGCCTGGACAAACTTACTGCTATATCAGGGTGCAGCACTTACAGAGCTCTGGCCCAGAAATACTCACTGCACTCCACACGTTAGGACAGAATCAGAGTCCCTCAAACCTATTCCCTGGGAAAAACTTCCCAAAGATACTCTCCTTGCTCCTGGCATTGCTAGAGGAGATTGTGCCAAGGCAGCTGCCGCTCCTAGAGTACCATATAGCAGCCTGGAAACGAAAATGGAAGGCCTCCAGGGACCTGATCCTGTTTACAACAAGGATGTTCCCTAACCTAATACACACTGGTTTCAGCAAACATCTAAAATCCATCCACCCTGCCTGCTCCAGAATCCTTTCCATCTGCTACAGTGGGGTGTATCTCATGTTGGCTAAGGGGTATTGACAGGCTAACAACATGCCTGCCTCCCAATATAAGCTTCAGAGGCTTCAACGTTTCTGGGGTGGGCGGGGGGGGGAACACTCCTCGAGTTTCAGCATCTGTTTTGTCTGCCCTAAACCAGATGTTTCACTCAATGGTTATCACCTCCTTCCTCTCAAGAGAAACTAGTATTTTAAAGTCAGCTTTGCCCAGAGAAGTGACTCTAATAAGGCACCACAGGGCCTTATTTATGATCTCAATAAGTCCAGATCAACTCTGCTCCATCCCTAAATAAATCAGTGTTTTTTCTAACTGCCTGCTTTGCAAACTCCACCTGGGGTCTGAGAGTCAAGCGGGGCATGCTCTAGCTCACACTTCATCACCCGTAAGAGAGATTTTTGCAATCCTGGTTAGGTTTTTTGGGACGATATTCCACGCAGATTAGAATCCAGCTCCCTCTCCCATAGCTCTGCAGAGGCAAAACAGTTAATAGGGATAGAAAGAAATAGCATGAACTTAGCATAGTCAGAAGATGTGACTACACATGCAGATTAGTTAAGGGAAGATAATCAGCAGTCATATATAAAGAAATGCACTCCAAATGAGATCCCCAAATCACAAAGCACTGTGTACATACTGGTGTCATTCCTCTGTCCCATCCACCTTCACTTTTTAAAAAACAGTAGGGAAACTGAGGCAGGGAAGAGTTAAAAGCAGCCTTGCAAGTTTCCTGTGGCCCAATCACCAGAGGGAAACAAATCTGTTTGCTGGGCAAGTTAAAAGTTATTAAATATCACTCTTTTTCATTGCCACCATTATCCAACCGGGACACTAACAATACACCTGGCAGGCAGGCAGTTTGCGTGTCTGGGCTGTTAAATTAACCCAGCCTTGTCAAGCAGACATGAGAGAGTGACTTGGGGCAGGTGGAGTCAGTAACAAGACTGGGAACCGAACCTCGGTCTCTCCCAGCTCTCAACAGACTGCACCCACCCCAGTCTGCCTCACTCCCTAGCAGAGACAAGCGCTGTTTTCCTTTACATTATAGTGCCATGAGTGAAACAGCCACTGGAGGAAAGAGGTGTTGAAACCAAATTCCTCTGCCATTTCCGTTCTGTGGTCATTAGCAGCGGTGTGGTGCTTTTGGAAGCGAACGGTGCCCCTGGTGAGGGCTGAGAGCAAAAGGGAATGCTGCATCCTCGAAAGCACATACCAGGCAGCATTTCCTATACATGCCACGGAGCTCAGCTATCACTTCCAATCAGCGCAGAAGGGACAGAGCGGCCCCAAAGGCAGGGGGTGATTGTGGAGCTGTCCCGAAGGGGAACGGCTCAAAAGAACACGCAAGTGAGACCACAGTATTGTTAATTAGTGCTGATAGATGCAATCATTTCTAATTAGCTCACTAATCCCTCTCCCCTGTGCTCCTGTCGCAAGAGCAAAGAGGGGGGCCAGGGTTTTTTCCTGTCCCTAAGCCAGTAAGATAAAAGCACCAAAATCCTGCGGTAAGCAAGAGCAGAATGGAGGATTTAACTCGAGAGCGCCTGAGTGCTATTGAGAAGGTGTGTTCTAGACAAGAAGTGGCCTCATTTCAATCTCTCATTGAACAAAGCCTCTCTGGTTATTATTCAAGACTTCTGCCAAGAAGTGAGGAGTTCACAAATTTTTATTAGTATTAATAATTATTATCAGGCCATCAGAGGGCTTGTCAGCACCATCGTGGCCTCACTTTTAACGGATGTGCTTGATCAGCGTTACCCCAGACTAGACCACTCGCGCTGCTGCTGCACGTGCTCTCGCCTGTCCGGCACTGAAGACCCACTCGGCTTGCCCTTTCACGGCTGGCGTAAGCAGCACCTCAGTACCGCCACGCTCGCAAGGGAGCCAGCGGACACATCCAGGAGCAGAGACAATGGCCCATCTGCCATTCGTTCTCCGGTGGACTAGGATTGCCCAGCTGCTGGGCTGGGAGCCTGTCCCAAGAAGACAATTCCTGCCATGTAGGTCCCAGAAGTGATGGAGCTTCAGCAGTTTGGGGGTTAGCAGGCCACAGCACATGGGCAAGCAAGTGGAATAGCGAAGGAACTGAAGCCTCAGCCCCTGCTAGAGAGGGGGCGAGGTCAGGCCTTTGGATCAGCCCGCAGAGGCAACACAAGCAGGTGAAGTTGCTTTTCTCTTCTGCTACCAGTCACTCTGGACTGGACCAGCGGAAATGCTGCTGCCAGGGTGGAAAGGGGAACCAAAGACCACTGCTTGCTAATATCAGCTCTGGGCACAGACAAAGGCCCCTGGCAGAGTGCTGGATTCCAAACTACTGTTGCTATCATTGCTCAGTTCATGCCCCTCCCACGCGTACATCAGACCCCCACCTCACTTCACGCTACTGGAGCATGCCCCCCAGCACCTCCTTCAAACCTGCTTTCACCTTGGTGATCAATGATAGTGAGGGAGGCTGGGCAGGTGAATTTCCATCTTTCTGTAACACGGTCTCCCAGATCAGTGGCTGCTCCTTTCCTGGCCTAAACATTCCTAGTCACTTCTGATCACATCTCCCACAAAGCATCTCAGCTGGAGGGTGAAGCGAATGACCCGGTTTTAATTTTCACTGCTACCTTTGTAAGATCCT